TACAGAGTTCCGTGCAGCTGTGGAAGAGCATACATCGGCACCACAAAACGAAGCATAAACACTAGGATCACGGAGCACAAACGAAGTTGCAGATTCGGACAAACGGAAAAATCAGCAGTAGCGGAGCACGCAATACTAGACGGCCACCAAATACGCTTCGACGAAGTTGACATTCTGCACCAATCTGAAAGATACTACCCGAGACTCACCAGGGAGGCCATCGAAATATTTAAACACCAAAACAATTTCAACAGAAAAGAAGAAATTACGGCACTCAATCCAGATTGGAAGCGCGTTTTGCGCCAAACAGCATGTGCGCCGAAGCGTTGGAACCCCCACCCATCCCCCACGCATGAGCAGACACGGCTGGGCGGCATAAATACGACTGGGAATCCAGCAGTTGAATCATTGTTAGTCGGAAAGCACGGGAGATCACTTCGCCCACTGCCTCATCGCCTTTGAAAATGTCCACCGCAGTTGTGGACGAAACGTCAGGAAGAAATTCCGATAGACCACGGCTTCAAAGCCCGGAAAACATTTCTAAATGTATTCTGGAAATACTTGATTGACTAATGTTAGTAGTTTTGAATATTAGATTTTGACTAACATTGGGATTTTCGATAACTGAACCAATTACCGCGAAAACATTCTTTGTAATGGGTTTTTTATAATTGACACTGCCAGTTTCCTCAAATTGGTCATAAGCGCTTAAAAACTGTTGGCTTAGAATGATTTCTTTCAGGAAACTTTTGAGTATAAACTCGAGAAGCCAATAAACAATTTTTATGACATTCTCCAAGGGTGAAATTCATGTCAATACGTTCTTCTCTTGTATAATTCTTCATTTTAACTTAGCAACACAATAATAATATTAAAATAACGACCAACACGTCTACAATTACAAAAAAAGACAATACCACTCTAGCCATCAAAAAGAGTCTTTGCAGTCTAAACTGACAAATAAAATAAATGATTTGACGTGTGTAAATGACATAGCCAACTTAGATACATTGGAACCTTAAATTAAATATCACCAAATGGTGCACAGAACAACTATTTGACGTATTTTGTAAAAAGGCAAAAACTTAGCTATTAACACAACAAAAAAACGCAACTTTGATAGTTTTAGAGCCTTTGGGACACCCTGTACATTACAAAAATATTTTTTAAATGTGCGCTCGGTAGGCGTCGGACAATTCGTAAAATAATACTTTTTAAAAATCAAACGGTTTAGCCGCAAACTTCCGTGCCGTATAGCGTGAATAACCCTGTATAATTTTCTTTGAGTTGTGTTAATTATTTTATTAAATTGTTTTTACATTCTCAATTTTTACTTCTTATTAAAATGTTATATTAAAGAGTGCCATAATTTTGTTACCCTTTTTGTAAACACATTCTCTAATGATGTAAATTTGAACCGATTTAGCTTAGAGGGTAAAACTTTTGGTGCCTAAAATGCAGGGAGGTTAAGAGAAGAGTGGATATGTTAAAATATTATTTTAATAGACTCGTTACGTGCCATAGTTGTGGCACACTTTCTTATGTACAAAAAAATGTTTTTAGTCGTACCGTATTTCTGAATAAAAAATTGGCACCCTACAATTTTCAGGAACATAGAAAAGATCTCGATTACTGTTCAATTTACTTATGAGAGAAATTATCTTAGTTTTTTTTCGAGGAAACCCTAGTCTTCAATAGCAAAAATGTAAACAAAATTCTTGCATTTTTGGTACCTCAGGTAAATGAACAACTTTAAAATGGGAAGCAAAACAGACTTGCCATCATGTGAAGCTTTTTTCTTCAATATTTGATTCTCTAATCATCCAGCGCTTATGTAAAGCAACCATGGTCCTTTGCGTTGGTTAGAGGCCAAATTCTCATATTTCACATGAAAGTAAATACGGCAGCTTTCTAGATACCAACAGTTTATCTTTATTTCCTATTAGATATTTGTAATTACAACTTAAGGATCTTTAATCCAATCCAAAGTCCTCTTTCTGGTCGAATATTTATACCAAATTTCTTGCTAAGTTTTAATGGAATTTGGGTTCTCTTAGTCGTTACAATCTCCAATCTGCTTAGCAGATGGAAAATAATGATTTTGACTTCCATCAACGCAAATCTGGTTCCAAGGCACGATCTTGGGCCTTGACCAAATCCCAAAACGGTATACGGTGTTAATTTGCTTCTATTTGCGGCGCTGAACCTTTCCGGCTCAAACTTTTCTGGATTTGGAAAGTATTTGGGATCATGATGTATTGCATAGCATGGAATCTGGATTCCGGTGCCTTTGGAAATAACTAGGGTTTTCTCTTCTGGAAGTGTCGGTTCGATTGTATAGGTTTTAGTGCATTCGCGGCCAAGAATTACAAATGGGGGCCATTTACGCAAAGCCTCTAAAATATCATAGTACATGATACAGAGCCAATTGACTAGGCATGTTTTGATACATACCAGATATAACCATATCCAAGTATTTCATGTTAAATAAGGCCTCGTACGTTATTGTTCCATTGGTTTTCTCAAGAGTATCGAAAATTTCCGCTCTTAGCTTATCTTGGACGTTTTGATTAACTGCTAGTTCGTAGGTTGCAAACGTTAACAGAGATGAAACTGAATCAAAACCAGCAAAGAAAAATAGGAGAGCTTGAGCGGTCATATCGTCCTTGGTAATCTCGTGTGGTACTTGCGATTGATCTGAAATGTGTATTTTAGTTAAGATACATTTTTATTTATATTGAAGGTCTATTGAAGTAAAATGAAAATAACTTCATATGGCGGGTACTGTATTCTACCTATTGCCTTAGAACTTCAATTATTTTACTGCTTAAATAGTTAAAATTTAATAGATTGTCGTAATATAACAACAGGGTCCTCTTCAAGCGCTCTAAAAAAATGGATGATTTAAAATATTTGATTACTATAAAACATATTATAATTTTATATTTATTATTAATATATATAGTCCCTCTTGAGCTTTGTAATTCAAGACTAAAAAGGTTTTTTAAAAATCCAACTTTTCTTCAATATTTCCAGAACCGCGTAAGATGAAATTGCAAAAAAATTAACTTAACTGAAAGTTGCACCAATATTTTTTTTCCAATAAGCGTCAATAATATTTTAATCAAGACATTCAAAATAATCTGCATCTGCAAAATATCTTTACGAAGTTCACAAACGCATCAAATGTAGATCAAAATAAGTTTTTAAAATACATATTAAGTAGATATAATTTCTGTATAAGAGCAGATTTACTATACTTATGCATGAATATCTTGAAAGTATTGCTTGCATCTGAGCTATTTTTCCACGTTAATTATTTAAAAAAATACGCGCCTATATATTTTGAAAATTTAAATAATTACATTTCTTGTACATTTATTAACAACATTAAAACTTATTTACTTAAATTTTATTAAATAATAGAAATAATAGAAGTGAAAATCAGGTATGCAGAAACATGTTCATGAATGTACGTCAGACAGTGGACAACACACAGAACATTTAATATTATTTCAAAGCATTTTATCGGCATACAGACCTACAATCGTGATCATATATGGAAGATTCTCTCAAAAGTAGTGTAATTTTCATGTGTTCATTTTTATAAACAGTCAAAATTAACTTGTTCAAACCTGTATCTTCATCGCCTGCAAAAAAGTCTTCTTTAGTTGCATCTCCATCCTCGCCTTTATGAATACCTTTGGCCGCTTCCATTAGAATTTGAATCATGTCTGGTCGATAAATTCCTTTAGATTCGCGGATTGCAACTGTAGTTTCTACGAAGTTGCTGAAAAACTCGGTAACTTCTTTGCGAAATATTTGCAGTTGGAAGTACTAAAAATTATCCCATTAGCTGCAGCAAAATTCACTCTTGCATAATTGGGTTGCAAATACTCACTTTCATTTCGAAGAAATTTCATTAAATGGCAATTTGAAAAGGAATATTTTCTTTATTGTTCATGGTGATGCGTTATGTATTGTACCAAGTAATATAAGAAATTTATTATTGGTTTTACCTTATTTATTAGATTATTCCACGCAATTAATCTTTTAGAGAGCGTAGAGGGACAAATATTGAGACAGAGAGAATGTTAATAAGGCTTTGAGTATACGTAAGTTAATCTGAACGGCAATTTTCTCCAGAATCCAATCAAACTTCTAACCGTTATTCTCTTCAATAAATATAAATAAATATTTCATGTAAGTATCTTTTTTTTAATTCTGAAGCAGTGTCGGGAAATTAACATTGCATTATATCGTGTTGTGTCGTGTCCCAGAAACATCGTCAAGGAGCAGCGTTATTTGACTGTTGGATACTTTTCTTAAAATAGTGTTGTTCTGATTGTTAAGTGTTTTTCAGTCAAGAAGTTTGCAAAAGCCTAGAGATCGTTTGCCTACAAAAAATATGTGAACGCTTTAAAAATCAGTTTGGGTAGGTAGTTCATAAAATCCAAATTCACTCCTCTAAAGCTTCTACTTGCTTAAACATGGCATCTTTAAGAATCGGTACATGAGTGCATGTACTGAATAGGCATGGGTAACACTGTGTTGAGTTGGGCTTTTGGGTTGTAGTCTAATGAGTTATAACTCACGGCGTCTGAACTGTCCCGCACTTTGAATCACGCTTAGCATTTAGCCGGTGCGTGACGTTGGAAAAAATTGGAAATTGCCACATTAATAGAGAAAGGTATTCTCTATCCGGCAAACAATCAGCTTAGTAATAGTGTAAATTTGGTTCCGACTGATGAGCGCTTGGTTACTTCAAAGAAATATTCAAACTTGAAATGTTTTGCATTTTTGCATGCCACTTTTTACCCATTTCTCTGCTACCACTAGATAGAGCATTAAATTTTAAAGAATTTTGACTAATTAAGGCATGAGATCTGGGGCTAGCAGATGAAGCAATTAGCCAGAAAAGATTGAAAAACATATAATACAAAAAAGGCAAAAATGATCATACATAACTAGAAGGTAATAAAATTAAGCTACAATGTAAATTTTGAATAATTATTGAAATCAGCGTTCTAAGAAGGGAAATATTGAATCATTGTAAGGGCCACAATCTTACCTGCTAACGGCAGGTTTAAAATTTTCTATTCGAAGTGCATTTTCATTGTGTGAAGTGTGAAAGTGTAGTTAACTTTTTGAAAATTAGTGGGTAGAAAATGGAGGATGGGGCGCCAGTTTGCGGAAAGCCGGTAATAATAATCTCTAATCTATCAATCTTTTAGCCTTTATGGATTATTTATATTTATCTCACTTTGCTTTGCTCATTTGAAATAAGCTCGTCTTTGGATAGATTTCCTTCTGTATCTTCTAAACACATTTTCTTCTTTCTTTCCAGGTGGCTCCAAGCAACTTTCGGTAAGTTTAGCATTACTTTGCCCCTGGTTGCCATGTATATGTAAAACTTTTAGTCCCATGTTGATCAACCGACTCGTAGGGTGAATCGATTGAGCTATTGGTTCTTTCGTAGTTTTTTAAACCTTTGGGAAAATGTTGGCCGCATTGAATCATCAAGCTCTTCCGAATCTTTAGGTACTAAAATTTGGCTTCCGATTAAACCATTCATTCCTTCTCAAGAAATTTTTAAAGTTCGGGAATATTTTGTGTGGCTTCGTATTTTACTTCAAACTCATCAGAAACTTGTCTCAAGAACCGTTTCAGATATGCAAATATGAGTTCCAGTTTTATGTTTTTTGTCGATGAAGGTCAAGAGTTTTAGTTTTGCCTGTTTTTTTTGTTTAATTGGGAAATCGCCTGAAACATGGCGCAGTTTTTTTCGACGTAGCTCATGAACGATTTGAGCCACAGAGATCGTTTCTATATCATTGGATAGAGAATTGGAAATTCTATTTATATAACAACGTGCGCGAGAAAATTCGGATAGTTTTGTCGCAAAAAGTCACAGAAAATTTGAATATCAAACATATTTAGGTGCAAGTTTACCCCAAAATTTAATTAAAAAATCGTCTTCTACAGAATGTCAATATTTCAAGTTTCTGCAGGCTTTACTTTGGAAGCTTGCATTTTTAATTAACTGGAGAATGAAGAACATTGCTTGCAGTTACGTAAAGCGTTCATTTTCAAATCAACATTAACAAAGCGCGCAAAATTCAGGATTTCATGCGTGTTGAATGATTTTTTAGAGCGCACTCTTCTTTACTGAAGACACACAAAACTCTGATCTTGTAGAGCATTTTTCGTTTCTGAGTCTTTTGCTATAACTTATCGCGTCTCACTGTTTCAATCAAGCTTAGCATTTAACCCAGGGGCGGATTAAACGCCCTTTACGACGCCAGGGGCTGGAATTTCAACACTTAACAAGAAAAGGACACCACATTTTTTAGGAGCAACATTTTAACAAATCGGTGACTGCATCGCAACTGCACTGGTGCTGCATTGCGCCAACTTCTGAAAATTCACTGTGTTACCCTAGTACTGAAGACATCATTGTTCGGGAATAGATTGATTTCACGACTGAAAAATAGTCGCTATTTCAACAAAGACTAATCTGTTTTTCAAATTCTGGTTAATATGCAGCCTAAATATTTATAATGCTAAAAACGACCTGTAGTGTTGGCATCGTATGCCTACTAAGTATATGAAACTTTGACACATTTTTGTTTGTTTATTTCTGTCCACTTTATATTTCAGATGTTCAGTCTGAATTCCATCACTCTTGATATCTAATAAACATGTCGTTAAAGGGAATGCATACGCCTCTTCGATATAGCTACTTCCAGCTTTTTAAATCTCGAACTTCGTCCAAAACTTGTGTCTCATCAGAACCTTGTCCATTATAATATTTATATTTCGGTTTCTGTACAGCTGTTATTATTGTCTCGTTGTTTATGTTGGTTCTCATCCTACATTTTATTATTGTTTGAGTCTGACTTCAGGTTATCAACAAGGGTTTCAACTGGAGCTTCCTTAACTGCATTTCATATTGACTCATTATAATTCTTTTCATTGGCAGCTTTTGGTCAACTAGTGGAGTTATTTCTTCTTTGCTTTTCTCGTTGTTTAGTATACAGATGCCAATTTTACCTTGTTTTCATATTTATATTTTTAACAACAAAATTTACTTAAAATGATCTGCTCTATGATATGCATTAGGTGATAAAATATTGTTATGGAATCCTTCCCCAATGAATATCTAGTCAATTTGGTAGCGAATAACAAAAAATGTCTACGCTGATGTTTTCGATAGTCATAAAGAATTGAACATTTTTGGTTAAAATGACCTCAATAGTACGTCCCTTAAATTTGTACAGTAACTCATCCAATACCCTGTGTATAAAATGTAATAACACTCCAAGTTTTAACTTACTTGGTAGATTCTGGGAAACAGCTGTAACAATAACATTTTGAAAAACAGCGAAAATCTAAGCTCCGTTAGTTCTTGGCCCATTTGGAAAAAGTAGTTATTTTTTTCAGCTAAGGAATCCACTTTAACCCCCAGCGAAGTAGTAGCTATAACATCAATCGTAAATCTGATAAGAAAAGTAATTGTTAGATACATTAGAAGCATTTAAGCCTGCTTCTTAAACCTGGAAAACGCATCTTTCATTTCAACTTCAATAACTTGACTGGGTTGATTTTCGTAATATTCAACAAAATTTTTTGCTGCGTCCGATACGAGACCGAACATGATCTTTATTTTCCTGCCTGTGAAAGACCCACTCAATGTAGATCGCATTTTTCGCCACTCATCACCTTAAACCAGGGAAACTCTCCATGAGAACATTTTCCAGTAAAGCGCTCAATGGGATTATCACCTTTGAGGTTTAGAATATTCTTGGAAAATAATGGATCAGATTTGGGATTAGTTTCAGCAACGTGGTCGACAAAATGATCAAAATCCTTTACAGTCACTCTCCTTATCAACTCTGGGTCGCGTATTACTAATTTAGGTCTGAAGAACTGATAGATACCATAATATCTGCAAAGCATAGACACTGTTCTACTTAACTTTCCATGCATTGTTTGTAAAATTTCACCAGTGCCAAATATTCATCAAGTTCATCAAATTAATTTGGCAACTAGAGTTAAAATTAAAAATTATGATAGAAACCTATTGGTTTTTACCTCACATTGGGCATCGAATTGTAATAGTAAGAAACAATTTCGCCTACATCCATAACTTGGAAAATCATTCTCCAACTATCTCCAAAAAGAGGCCATGGATTGGTTTGCTTAACTGAGCGGTCTTTCCAGTAATTATACGGCTGGAGTAATAAATAGTATAGAGCCAAAACGGCCGCACATATTATTAGCAGCATGATGTTGTGAAAAAACCTAAAATTTACTTTATATTTTTACTCACGTTGATGTGGTTAGTATATAAACTGTAAAATATTTTGCTTGACTGGAATGATAACCCAAATATAATTATGATAAGAGAGTATTGTATCTAATATGCAATGGAATATTATTCTATTTATTTTAATTGGAATGAATGTTACTACGCGTGAGGTGTTCCAGATGTCAAATATAAGTTACTACATTTATAAATGAGTTGTTTGAGAACAAATTTAAAAAAACCACAACAATTATAGTGAATTCTTCCATACAGTTACAGTGTTAAAGTATCTTTTTCTCGATATTTTCGACTGAGAAAAGATATCGAAATAAAATATTTCAGGAAATCTTTGTTTGTAAGTTGGAGTAATACTTTAAGAAATTCACACTTTTTTGATAAGTTTAATGTTGCCCGGCAAATTGTGGTGACTGTTCCAGATATAAAAAATAAATAAAACTAAAACTTAATACAGTTTATATCAACTTTATTGGTAGGTAYAGGCATAAAATATTCAACTTATGGGCTCCTAAATAGCAGCAATGGATGCTTATGAACTCCCAATAAGCATATGAATAACTCAAAAATCCATAGTAGGTTTATAAACAGGATAAATAGAATTACTTTCTTAATAGGAAAATCTTATCTCTCTGAAAACAACGGCCTTTTCTTTATTTATTCGAAGAATATCGCTATTGATAACTTAACTATTGATTATTGATAATTTTGCGCAAATGTTTCGGTTTAATGAAATGCTGAAAAGCTATAAGTGAAATATTATAAACAGCGACAGCCACCCACAATATATAAAGGTGCGTTTCGATACACTTGTTTAGAGTATAGTGATAAGCAGTTTTCAACTAACTTTAAACTCCAAAATATCCCGAGTATATTTAGCGAATTTTAAGGAGTTGGCGCTGTGCTGCTCAAATGGCTTGGTGCGCCAAGCCAACGCACCGGCGCAGTAACTCAGTTCCGTTATTTCCGTTGGGAAAATGTTGATGACTTTTTTTCAACCTTTTTTAAACTTATTTTAAAGGTCATTTATTAATAATATTTTTAAAATGTTTGCAAATTTCAGAAATTTCCGGTTTTAGCCCAGTTACTCTTTCTTCTAAATGCTCAATTTTCTAAAGTTTCACTTAAAAAAGCATGCATCTTAAGGTATTTTCTTCGAAAAATTATTAAATAAATTTCGAATTCTTTTTTTGAAAACTCTTTCCAGCTTCGAATTTGGAACAAAAATCAAACAATATTCTATCAAAAAACGAACAAAATAAGCGAAAGTTTATAACAGATCATTTGGAAATCTCGTCACCTCCATTCCTCTGAAGAATGTAAAATTTGTTAAAAAATGTGTTTTTTTAGTTTTGACTGGTTTCTTTTGCTTTATTTTATACTCAAAAACGCTCTATTTTGTGGAGTTTCACTTAAAAATACTGACGATCTGGAGGACTTTTACGCGAAAAATTACAAGATAAATTTATAGCTTTGTAAAAAAATTACAAACATTTTTTCAGCGTCGAATTCGGGACAAAAACGAAAATAAATTTCCACCGTTTTTTTCCCGAAAACCATTAAGGTTTTCCCAAAACTATACGTTTTTAATGGAAAACGTAAAAAAGCCTTATTTTCTGATGATTTTGACAATAATGGGGTGTTTTCAGTCAAAAATGATAAAATTACATTTGCTAGAAAAATCGCTCCATTCATCGATTTGAAGGGAACTTTCGAAAATAATTAGGAATATCTTCAAGAAACGACCAAAAAGTTTACAAAATATTATTGGGAAAGTTCGCCGCTCTCATCGCTCTGAAGATTTCTAAAGTTCCTTTAAATTATCAGGTCATTCCAGTTTTAACAAAGTTTCTATTAAGCAATTCTTTCTACAGAAAAATCGCTTAATTTCAAGTTAAAATACTGACACTCTTCAGGTATTTTCTGTGAAAAATTATAAGATAAATGTTATTGGAACACTCGCCTCCTTAACTGCTTTGTTAAAAAACWGCAAAAATGTTTGGAATACTTGTTGCAGCTTCGAGTTATGGACAAAACCCTAATAATTATTTCTAGGTTTTTTTTCCAAAAATATTTCCCCGAACTGAAAAAGCTACTGAAAAACGTTTGCCCTAATACTGACGAACTCTGTATATATAAGCTGAAGAATTTTAATTAATAATATGCAGGGTAATTCAGAGTTTAACGGACAAAAAGGACAAGTACATAGAACTCAAAAAAATAAGCAGAAAAGTTCATATTAACACATTCCTGCGAATGTTTCATTTCAGATATATCGTCGGCTTAAAGCTAGAAGTGACCAAGTCCAAAATTCCGTATTTGTGTTTGGTTGACCAAATAATTTAAAAAAATTATACATACATTTGTCTTCAAAAACTGACATAGTCCCCCAATGCCACACAAAAAAGAAACAAAAGGATTCTCATATAATTTTGGGCTCTGGTTTAAAAGTGCATCTACCAAAAATTTATATTTGAAACTTGGTCAGTTTTAGCTTTAAGCCCACGATATATGGTGTTGATATAAGAGTTTTTATATTATTTTTTCGTTCGTTCTTGTGGGTTTTCAGATATCTAACGATAAATGTAAAAAACTGTTTGTTATTCAACAGCTTTCGCACCTTTTGTATTTGTTGCATACATTTTCTATATATTTTCGTGGAATTTACCGCATAATTTATTTTATGATTAAAAATGAACGACCCTGCATCCACAGTAAGTTGGCCGATGAGACAATTAGCAACATTAGATAATAGGCATTTTTATAAAAAAAACAATGCTTTCACTGATAATAGGATGATAATATTAACTAATAATAAAAATAATCATATTTATCAGCATTGTGTATTCATAGCGCTTCTAAATAAAAGCTGAATAAACAAGCAGTAAAATCGATGAAATTGAACGTTCTAAGTGCAGTAGTTTCATGCAAAGTATCATTTTTTGCGTGTAATTTTCAACAACATCCTGTTTAGTCCAATCTAGTACCGTTACACCCAAAATCGTATTGTACTAAAGTTGTCCAAAGCAGTTAGCAACCGTCCCTGGCTGAAGTTCAATTCAAACATGGCGTTTGACAACTAAAATGTTAACAAATACCAGGCACAAAAGCTGTGTAAAAAATCATTAAAGTACGGTGATATGTAAATAAATACCCATAAAAATATTTGTAAATATAGGCAAGATAACATACTGTGATACATGTGATGGCTAATGATACCGGAGATGAAATTATAAAGAAAGAGCTCGAAATTTTGCAGTCTATGATCGACGTATCTGCTACCACTTTAGAGGGGCTCAGAACGCAATGTGCCCCAACTGCAGAGTTAACTCGCCAAGAAATCAGGACTTTAGAGGTACTTTTTGTCGCTAATGTGTAATTCTTTCGGTAAAGCGGCTAAGAGAAACTGGGACTGCCCTTGACATTGAAGGCACTTTCACTGAGATTCACTTTGGATCACTGTTTTAACTAGGACGCAATGAATGTTGGGAAAATCCTACTTAAAACTTCATCATACTGTTGACCTTGTTTCGATAACTAACAAAATTATACATGCTTGCAATTAACAATTAGATTAAGCGCTGTGCATGCTTATTATTACTAAGCACTATTCTCAAGCAATCGTGTTTACATTTACTTAGTCGTTTATATTATCTGTTTATTGACACAACAAATCGATTTAAGGGGAGTGGATGTTTTGCTATTATTTAAATGCTTTATACAATTACCACCAAGTATACTTGATTAAAGGTAATACAGACAGGGCAAAATGTTAAAAAAGCAAACTCCTTTTATCCAAGTAGGTATTAAATGAACCAGCTCGTTTGCAACTTGGGATTTAATCAGTTCTAAATTCCCTTAAATCAACCAAAGATACACAGTGAAAGCTCTACTTGCGGAAAACTCTCTTAACCGGACATTTTTCTTGGAACCGAATTTTTTCATATGGTTTTCAATGTAAAACACTTTCTTATAAGCGGACTTTCTATTAAACGGACGCGGACATGATATTATCATCATACGGAGTTGAAAAGCTCTTACAAGCGGACACAAACCTGTAAGACGCGGTCTGCGAATAAAACCATTATCATAATTAAGCGATTTTCAATCGGGGAATTCTTTCAAAAATTCTATAATTCCCCGTTTAAGATGTTTTGACTTACTTTATTCATCGAGGATAGTGCCATTAAGTTTCGAGCACATATAGAGAGTGTTTGTTGTGAACATGGCTCCGAATAAGAAAATGCTTTCCTTAAAATACAAAATGGAAATATTAAATGCTTTAAATTAAGAAACAGTGTCCGTTCGAGAACTAGCAAGGCGATTTAAGATCGGGAAAACTCAAGCGGCAGTAATGACCAAAAAAAAAGAAGATATTAGAACAAAATCGCAGTGTGGTGACAATGTAGGGCAAAAGAGGAGTTTCCTAAAAAGTGATGGTCTTGAGATAGATAAAAAGAGTTTACAGTGGCTGGCTACATGGATACTGGATGTTGCTTGGCTACAAGCCGGAGGACATTTTCAACGCAGATGAGACCGGACTTTTCTTCGTGCATTACCAGACAAAACTTTAACATTCAAATCTGAGAAATGGACCGGCGGTAAATTCTCTATAGACTCACCATTTTGTTTTGCGCATCGATGGCTGGTGAAAAGGAGGATTTATTAGTCATAGGAAAATCAGCTCGCCCTCGTGCTTTGAAAACTATTGCCATCCAAGATTTGCCAACAATTTGGAAATCAAACAAGAAAGAGTGGATGACTCAAGATATTATGTCAGAATGATTGTTTCATTTCGATAGAAAAATGGGGATTCAGAAAAAAAGAGTTCTCATTTCTAGATAAGGCAGGATGCCATCCTCGTGAGGTGAAACTGAAAAATATTAAAGTTATATTTTTGCCCCCAAACACCACGTCTATATGTCAGCACTGGACCAAGGCATCATTAAAAACTTCAAATTTGATTATAGAGATCTTATTCTAAAACATGTGTTAATTTAAATTAACTCTTCCAAGTCTGTGTCTGATGTGTCAAAGTCCATTAATGTATTCGAGGCTTTATATTTAATAAAGACGGCATGAAATAAAGTAAATTCTGCAACAGTCAAGAATTGCTTTATGAAAGCTGGATTCAAGAAGACAGAAGGAGAAATTCCACAAGAATCTAATCCAGATGAGCTGTCTTTGTGATTATTAGCTGGAAGCACAAGGATTTGTAAACATGGACCATATGGTGCAGACTGAAGAAGAAACGTTTCATCCTGATACCACCGCCCTTTCCAAAACTGAACTTTCCATGAGTAGTGATGATGACGAATCAGAAAAAACGTTGACAATTGTACCCGATGCTTCACTCATAAAATCGAATGATGATGCCTTAAATGCAATTTCCCTTTTAAAAATATTTTCAAGCGTTGATTTTATTGCGTTTCAACATCTTAAAAACCTTGAAACCCATTTTCAGCATTGGATTATTCAACAAAGATTTCAAAAAACGCCAAACTAGTATTTTAGAATATGTTAATAAACCTGCACAATAAGTTTCTATGTTGAAAAATGTTATAAAACATATATAGACAATGAGAAAGCTGAAAATAAATATTTCTTTTTAATTAAATACATATCTCTAATATGCGGACACCTCCCATAACCGGACATTTTTTGTGGAACCGTGACTTTCCGCTTATCGGAGCTCTCACTGTATACCTATTTCTACATTTTTTCTTTGCAAATTTTTATTTACTTGTGGTGTTATAGATCTAAGCTAGTAGGTACTTAAGTTAAATTACAGAATACATTATGTGATGGTGCTATGAAACCATTTAAAAGCTGAATTGGGGTGTTGCAAGTCAGACAATTACCAACATTAATTTATTATGTAACGATTTAAATAATGACAATCGATTGGAAAGAGCAAAAATAGGTTTGAAACTTTCACCTCCTTTTGGAAAATGTTGGCTTATAACAGTAGACAGTCGGTAATTTTTCATAGCATTTGAAACAGGTATATCGAGATACGTAGGCAAAATTTTTAATCGCATCTACTTCCGATGCGAAAAGGTATAATAAGGCCTAAGTAATGACCTAAATTTTTTTGTCTTGACTCAGTTCGTCGTAGATTCTATTCTTCAATTTCAATTTTCTGCTGGTAATTTTACTAATTATTTTACAATAATAATTGTGCAATATGTTTTTCTCCAATAAATATATTATCGATAACGATTAGAAAAAAATGGAAACATATCTGTTTCTACTTTTCAGATGCTTAAGTTATCAGCATATAAAATGTCTTTTTTCTCGGGAACTAAACAATTACAATAAAGCAGTTATTGAAATTTTTGCCAATTCAGACAACAAAAATAGGAAGAGAGATTGTTGAAGAAGTTCACTACTTAGATATCTCGATTGGGATGACCATTTCAAGTCTAAGAAAAATTAGTTTTCAAATTATTTTTAAAAACGTTTCGAATGTACAGGGTGTTATTCTAGTACGAAGCCAAATTTCAGAACGCTGACTTTAAAAAGAAAAGTTTAGTTGACTATAGGTTCGGAAATCGTTCATTTTCATTATATAGGGTGTTAAATAATTTATTTGTTCTATCGAAAATCGTTTTAATGTGTGCAAAAAATAATCACAAGGTTTTTTACCGACTAGTGTAATTTTATTTTCTGAATGTCATTATGTTCTCCCAGACACATGGAAAAAAGTGGTTTTTACTTTTTATCTCGAAAACAAAGCGACATACCAAAAAATATATATAGGCAAAAAGGTAAGGTAAGGTGCTTAATTCAAAGAAAAATAAAAACATTGAAAAGAAAACCACGGACTTTTTTCTATTTTGTCGTACGTACTTTTGTTAAAAATTAATTAAAAAGACATGGAAGACCCTTTGGGCTAAATAATTTTAGTCTATTTAGGGCAAATTAACCCCTTGCTGCGGTAAATAGATATACAGGGTTGCTCATTAGTGCGTCAAAGTGCGATATCTCAGTAAATATGAAGTTTACAAGAAAATTCGTCCAACGAAAGTTTTTTACGTTTA